ATGGGTTTGTAAACGGACTGAGCTGGCCTATCGGCAGGCCCAACACTGCCCACTGCTGGCCGTTGGGTATATTGCATTTTAGTAACTTGATTTAAACTTTAATTTCCAATCTTAATATTAAGTGGTCATTAAATGTATCTAATCATAACGATGTGTGTGTGTTAATGTCTTCAAATTCATTTGCATAATTTGTAATTTTAGACTTCCATGGGAGGCATCCATGTTCGCTTTTTACTAGGGAGGAGCTTGGGTTCAGATGTAACATGGGCCACCCACCAATTGGCTATGGGTACACGTTAGCAAATGGAGGGTATGCAGTGACGTCATTGACCATATATGGCCCCATGGCTATATTTAGTCATTGACATTGGCCTAATGTGGCCATTTAAGGTCAATGACTTAATTACAGGCATCCTGCCCCATTGTTTATGTCCAGCTGCGCCACAGAGAATACCCGCGCCCGCAACTGATTGGATGGGTGGCCTCATGTAGCTTCCAGGTTTGGGGGAGCTTCGGTTTGGACCAAGTTCAGGCCAACCTGAGCTTCTCTCTACTCATTACCTACCTGGGCTCCGTCCCTTGCTTAGTAATGCTGCATATTGCCGAGTCTTGGTAGCCAGAGGCCATGTGATTAACTGCAGGGAAGCAGTCACAGATACAACTGGTCACCGCTGGATTATTTCCCATCCCCTTGTGTCCCAGTGCCAATGGTCACCTGGACAAATAGGGGGCAAATCTCATTGGATGGCATTGAAAACTAGGTAGGGGTTCCAACCCTTCCGCACTAAAATGCAAAAGAAATTTGGGGTGTAGATGCACTTTAAATCTGTCACATAACCCAATACGGTTATCAAAATGCATTATTTTCCATGACAATGGGCCTTTAATGGAAGTTTAGTCATTTGGTACTCGCCTAAATGCTCTGATACCTTCCCCCGATACCAGAACTTCCAGTCAGGAAAATTTCCCCTCACCGGCAGTGTTGTAGGGGAAGATGGAGCCAGCTTCCCGTGCGATTAGGAAGCTTGGTGGCGAGTAATGACCCGCCTCCCGACTTCCTGATTGGCCAAACAGCCGGCTCTTTGCTGATTGGCTGGGAAGTCGGCTTTCTAGCCTATCAGGAAGCCGGGCAGTATGTCATTACCCGCTGCCCGGCTTCCTGATTGCATGGTAAGCCGGCTCCATGCCAGCTTGAGCACCGGTATCGGTACTCCTGTATCGCTAAGTACCGGAAGCAAAATATCGGTACTCATGCACTCAGTGCATCCCTATCTGTAATCAAATGTATATGCGGAACGCATGCTTTTCTTTGCTACCAATCCTTGTCAACAATTACAGTGCAGATGCAGACATGCCCATTGTAAACGATGCAATATTTACACTTTGGGGACTGGGATGATTGCTCTCAGAGCACAGGGGTGAAAAAAAAGCTTACGCCTTCAGGTGTCTCTGGATAAATTAATATACATGTATGTGGTAAGGGCCCTTTCCTGCATTTCCTGTATGTTGCAAATATTTGAATCTTTTTAATCAGCTGCTATTATTTATTGTGGTAACCAGAAGAATGCTGGGACATGACTGATGTACACTCTCTTCTTTTTCTTTCCCCCCCAGAGTATGGCAGTTCCTCTCCGCTGTAATGTTCACAGGAGTTGCTGTCATGGTAAGTGTTATTGATCCCGCACAGTGTAATGTGAATGGAATCCCTTGTTTTTTTTTCTAACCCTTTCACGCCGGCGGTATGTGTGTTGGCGGGGCCATTTTTATGATCTGATGGCGTGCTTAGTAGCCCGCTCGCTGCACGACGACAGCTCCCGGTCACTGTGCAGCCACTGGGATGGCCGTCTGATCATGTGACCTCCAATCACAGCGATCACACGATTGGGAAGCCCCATTCTGACTACTGGTGTTAAGATCCCCTAAAGGGCCATTGGGGGAAGGGGTTAACAGTCGCTCACATAGGCTTTAAACAAGTCAGTCAAGAGTTGCTGTGAATTAGGGTCGGGGCTTCTGCATTTTTCCACCTCTGTACTTTAAAGGAGAACTATGAGGTGAGTGCTTTTCACTCACCTCCATAGTTCTAGCCGACCTGTGACAATGAGACTTGCAGGTCAGCTCAGTAGATCGGGAGGTGAGCGAACACTCTGCCGTGACAGGGGAGGGGCTGGATTCCCCCCTCCCCGCTCCGATCCTCCAGCGCTGACTGGCGGAACGGACGGGGGATGAGGCGGGTACAGCTGCCTCTGCCTCTAGATAGGCAGAGCCAGCTGTCACTCACGCAGCTGGGCGGATCCAGACATAATTGTCGGGATGCGCTTCAGCTGCGGCGTCTCAGTATACCGCAAGCTGTAGCTCGCGGTATACTGAGCTTAGGGTGACAGGAGGACGCTAGTTTGTGTCCTCCCGTTACCCTAAGGAGAACTATGGGGAAAAGCCCCAATGAATGGATAACTAATGGACTGGAAAGGGTTATAAGACGAATTGCCCTGTTTGGGACACAAAGCCAGGTCCAGTTTGCACCCCGCGGTCCTCCTCTCTCTCCCTTCTCGTGGTCAGTCCCTGTTAGGTAGTTGAACTCTATTCTGCCCCTTTTCTAGAACTTGAACGTTATCAGCCGACGTACTTTAATCCTCATTTTTTTTTGTATCCGGCTGACCATAACGAGCTCCAAATTCTACCTTCTCCCGTCTTCCTCTGAGGTTCTTGTAGATAAGAGAATCTTGTGAGCCGATATTGTGTTGCTCTCCGGCGGTCTCTCCCGCCGCACGGTGTCTTGTAGCTAGCAATGTTCCTTTTTGATTCTGTTATTTTCTTTCCTCTTTTTAATTCCGCTCCCGAGACACTTATTATTTTTTTTATTTTCACGATACTTTTTTTTTCATCTTTACTTCTAAAGAGTCCATTTTATTTATTTATTTTTTCCGGCTCTGCAAATTATTTCTCATTTTGTTTTAAAAGAAACATTTGAAGAGAGAGAGGGCGACGACTTCCAGTGTAATTGTTGCCGGCTCCTGCCACAGAAGAGGCTCATGTTGGGGGTGCGGAGGACAGTGCTCTTTGTGAATTAGGATGAAGGGAATTCCGGTCAGCTTGCTGTGGATGGCTTTGCTGTCCAACTGAGTTTTTGTGTTCGATCTTTGATATCATTAGAATCTTTGTTACCACCATTTTGTCCTGAGTTTAAAAGTCTGGCTGAGGCTTCCATGCCTGGCTACAGCTTCTAATGCACAAGAGAAGCTCATAGGGTGCAGTAAAATTAGAGTACAGGAAAGGATCCTGTGCAGGGCTGGGGAGGAAATAGCTAGATGATGCTAGGTGTCCTCCAGCCAGGAAAGGAGGCGGAGCTCTATCTGACTTGCTGCAGCTTCTAATGTACATTGTGAGAAGCTCGCAGTGTGCAGTGACATCAGAGCAAGCAATATCAGTCCAGGAGAGGAGCCGATACAGCTGTGCAAGACTGAAGAGAAGGAGAGAGCTTATGTTGAAGGGAAGGAGGGAGCTCGCGTTGAAGGGAAGGAGGGAGCTCGCGTTGAAGGGAAGGAGGGAGCTCGCGTAGAAGGGAAGGACGCAGAGGGACAGTCCTCAAGCTGGAGCGGAGCGGAGACAAGTGAGTGCCAACTGCCAGGCAGAGTGCAAAGTGCTTTTCCCAATAGGGGAATAGGGACCAGAGGTGAACAACTCCGGCCCCCCAGCTGCTGTAGAACTAGTCCCATGAGGCATTGCTAGACTGACAGTTACAGGCGTGACTCCCAGAAGCATGATGGGTTTTGTAGTTAAAGCACAGCTGGAGGAGTAGAGTTTCCCACCCCTGCCCTAGACCTAGACCCGCGTTAACCCTTGCAATTTGTGTGCAGCCCCACTGCAAGCCACTAGAGGGAGACTCTATACATCTGTATGTATATGCGGCCATGGAATAAGTATACAGCAAATGTAGTTTTTGAAGCCAAACTGAAGATTGATACATTTCATGGGCACCAACCCAAAATGTGTGCAGAGCCTTGTAGGTTCCTTTTTTCTTTACAAAGCAGCCACGGCCTGAGTAGAAAAGCCTGTCCCCTGACAGCATGCAGCGGAGAAGGACCCTTCCTCTCAGTGGTCTCTCTGCAGAGGTACGGCATACCCTCCGGCATAGGATCCGACATGACTCTAGTCAGAGCTAGTGTTCTCTAATCAGCAGAGGGCGTGAAAGTAACCAATGGCAGATATATAGGTCTGACCTAGCAGGTGGGGGGTGCTGGTGTTGTGGGAGGGGGGGTGTCAAACCCCTGCAGAGAGACCACTACTTCCACAGAAAGAGCAAGTGCCCTTCACTGCAGCACGCTGCTAGGGGACAGGCTTTGCTTTCTTTAAAGAAAAAGGAACTTGTAAGACTTTGCACACCTTTGATGCACCGAGAACCCGGCCATTCTGATGATTTAGCTGGAATATTTAATTGGGCTTTAAAGAGAACCTGTCATGAGAGAACAAAGAATTACCGGCGCTTCCTCTTTCCTTGACCGCATACCTGTTCCATGCCAGCGACTGAGGAAGTGTTGAAGCCATTGGACCGGCGTGACAGCCGGCTGACTGATATTCGGTGACTGATGCCCCCCCGTGTTTATCTCTTGACAGTTTCCTCTAATATGTTCTCCGGCAGATAAACGAGATGCTTATTTGTGAATTTTTCCAGCAGTAATGACATTAGCAAATAACTGATCTCCATGGCTGAGTGCTGCTGATCTCTGCATCTGGATGGCGGCTGATTATATCCACATTCGGAGGCCCAGCACTCCTCTGTACACAGCCGGCGATGTCTCTTGCTCTCATTAGCTCGCTTTGATTTGTTTTGAATGAGGGATTTTTTTTTTCTCGATTTATTATTTCACTCCGCCTTTCACAGTAACCGGCGCTATAGAGGAAGTATCGGCTAATGCGACTCTGCTCCCTCCTCTGCCGCACCCTTGCTTTCTACAGCGCCGGCTTCCTTTGCCATCAGGGACAGCGGTACCAGCGGTGCAGCAGTGGGGACATCAGGCAGTGGACAGCTCGGTAAAGTAGGTACCATTACATTAAGGAGTGCCTTCAGGGGGACAGCAGTTGGAGAAGTATGGTACTGGAGTGCTCCCTGTCACCACGCTAGCCGAAGGGAGTCCCCCGTCACCCACTTAATACAGTTTGTCCCTGCAGGCTGATACCATCTCTCCTGCTCTTCAAGTTCCCCCTCACATGCTGCCACCAAACTAGGTCTTATTTTCGGGGGAAACGCAGTACATGTAGGTCAGCTGACCGAACTGCGAAAATATTCCCTCTTCAACCAGTCTTGTAATCAGAGCGGAACCAAGTCAGCGACCACCACTATATTCTACCCTGAACAGCGCGGTCACTGACCCGCCCCCTGACGACTGATAGGGCTGAGGGGGAGGCAGGATGAGGTCATCACTCTGCTCTTTTCCTCTTGCCAGAAGACTCCCGCTGTTAGATTGGTAGCATGACGCTTGATTGGCTCTTATGCCGATGCTCCCTTTACCAGTTTGCTGTGTAGGGGGTTACAGGTATCCAGTAAAGACAGATTCAGGTACTTCTACTAGCTGTATTTTCACAACCACAACATAGATGTTTATGCATTCTGTGTAATCTGATCTCCCTGATCCCTCTGCATTCTGTGTAACCTGCTCCCTCTGCAGTCTGTGTAATCTGATCTCCCTGATCCCTCTGCAGTCTGTATAATCTGGTCTCCCTGCTCCCCCTGCAGTCTGTGTAATCTGATCCCTCTGCAGTCTGTGTAATCTGATCTCCCTGATCCCTCTGCAGTCTGTGTAATCTGTTCTCCCTGATCCCTCTGCAGTCTGTGTAATCTGATCTCCCTGCTCCCTCTGCAGTCTGTGTAATCTGATCTCTCTGCATTCTGTGTGATCTGATCTCTCTGCTCCCCCTTTAGTCTGTATAATCTGATCTCCCTACTCCCTCTGCATTCTGTGTGATCTGATCTCCCTGCTCCCTCTGCATTCTGTGTGATCTGATCTCCCTGCTCCCTCTGCAGTCTGTGTAATCTGATCTCCCTGCTCCCTCTGCAGTCTGTGTAATCTGATCTCTCTGCATTCTGTGTGATCTGATCTCTCTGCTCCCCCTTTAGTCTGTATAATCTGATCTCCCTACTCCCTCTGCATTCTGTGTGATCTGATCTCCCTGCTCCCTCTGCATTCTGTGTGATCTGATCTCCCTGCTCCCTCTGCATTCTGTGTAATCTGATCTCCCTGCTCCCTCTGCAGTCTTTGTGATCTGCTCCCTCTGCATTCTATGTAGTCTGATCCCCCCGCTTTCTCTTTCTGTGTGATCTGATCTCCCTGCTCCCTCTGCATTCTGTGTGATCTGATCTCCCTGCTCCCTCTGCATTCTGTGTGATCTGATCTCCCTGCTCCCTCTGCATTCTGTGTGATCTGATCTCCCTGCTCCCTCTGCATTCTGTGTGATCTGATCTCCCTGCTCCCTCTGCATTCTGTGTGATCTGATCTCCCTGCTCCCTCTGCATTCTGTGTGATCTGATCTCCCTGCTCCCTCTGCATTCTGTGTGATCTGATCTCCCTGCTCCCTCTGCATTCTGTGTAATCTGATCTCCCTGCTCCCTCTGCAGACTTTGTGATCTGCTCCCTCTGCATTCTATGTAGTCTGATCCCCCCGCTTTCTCAGATTCAGGACTGTTTTACAAACAGCTGGAGCTGGACAAAGTGCCCCTCACATTTGAAGCTATAGCTCTTCGTACTAACCAGCAAACCAATATGCAGGCAGTAGGTCAGACTTCAATGGCTGCCTCATTGTTCCAGGGACTCAGTAGGTAATAAAGTGGCTACCCCGTCATTTCTATCCTTGCTGTTCCCCTTTTTAATATCCTGTCCTAATGATCTTCTGACACTTCACTGGTGAATGTTTTTACATTCTCTTCTACACCCCAATATTCCACCTCTGGTGAGTACATCATTACAGGAAGATAATCCGGGAGACATTCCTACTAATATGTCAGTAATAGATTTGTATCCCCCTGATAATGATACAGTGTTGCCGGCTCCCCGCGGCTCGCAACGTGAATATTCCATCTGCTAAGAGAAAACCAATTGCAATCTACATTTTAGTGCACTACCCAGCTCCCGGCTGTCAATCACGCCACCGTCGCCATGGAAACCCATCCAGCACCTCCGCCACGCGCAAACAAAATTGATTGATTTTTTTTTTTTTAACTCTCCAAACCTCAGGAACCTAAGCAGGTTAGGTGAACGCGGCCTGTATGTCATTGAATTCATTCACATCGGTACATTTTTTATTTTATTTTTTGCTTTTGCATCGCCTGAAGAAAGACCAAAAGATTTATTTTATTCAAATTTGGTCAATTGCTTTTTTTTTTTTATATAAATACTAAACTTCGCGCTCAGGTAATCACTCAGCAGCAGGCACTAATCCCAGTAAACCAGAATGTAAGTGAACAAATAAAATAATGATAAAAAAAATCAATTAAATAAAAGAATACAAATAAAATAAAATGTAAAAAATGTGCCGCGCTGCATTTTTTTATGCGTTTCCCAGTCGTTTTGCTCACAATTGGTTGAAGGGATTTTGCAGCAAGCAACAAATTGCTACAAAACTAATTTAAAGCGAAATCCCTGACACTTCTCTTCAAATTGCTTCTCACGCGGATTGTTTTCTCGAAGTAAATGGTTTATACGCAGTCTGATATTAAAGTAGCTCGGGGTAGAGTATGAAGTGAGCCGATCTCTTGGATTTGCAGCTTTGTGCTAAAATCATTTTTCTTTCTTCATTTAATGGAAAGCCGTAATACAGAATCGTGTTTTTGTACCTACGTGATATGTTGGTATGAATGGGATTTAGGGGCTTGTTCACAAGATGTCCGGACCAGAACCATGCACTCCTGCACCCAAAATGCATCCCAATGTCTCCCTATGTGTTTTATGGGCTACACTTCTCACCAGTGCAGTACGTTCCTGACAGAAAAAACACCAAGTCACATTTTCTCCGGTCCGGAAACTGACCGGAAATGCACGACTGCGCCAAAAACGCACTGCAGCTAACATACTGACAGCCCCACTCCCAAAAAACTGGAACGCGTCAAAAACGCACTGCATGCATAGCACGGCGTCTGCAGATCTGCTCCAGATCTGGACCAGAAAATGATGGGAACAAGCCTTTATTGCACAGGTTTAAGGCTCACCGCACATGTTACAGTCTGACCGTGCAATCTTTGTCCAATCAACTTTAAAGAAGGATTTTGAAAAGTTAAAATGATAGAACTATGAGGTGAGTGAAAATCGCACACCTCATAGTTCTCCTTTTTAAAGCCAAAAAGGTATTCAAGCAACTTCAAATGCTGATGAAATCACTTTCTGGGGGTTTCCTGGCCTCCCCAGGGGTGCCTCCAAATTTTTGTGGTAGTGGGACTGTGATGTGATGGGGGGAATGAAGACTTATGTGAAGTAGCTCTTCTGATGTAAATGGGGGTTGTTGATGCAAAGGGGGACTACTGAGTCACTTTTATGGTGTGTGTTCTAATGATCTGTCTCCTTTGCAGGCTCTCGCCTTTCCAGACCAGATGTATGAAGCCATCTTTGACAAAGGCGTAGTGAGCAGCAAAACTTCCACTCGCCTCTATGGAGGGGCCTTGTTCAGTGAGTGTTATCTTTGTCCTGACTGCTACAAATCTGGCATTCCATACACAGGCATGTGTTGTTCAAGACGCGTAATATGACTTTCCTCAGTCCAGATCTCCTGCCTTCCTAGCAGTCCCCAGCAGTCCAGATCTCTTGCCCTCATAGCAGTCCCCGGCGGCCCAGATCTCCTGCCTTCCTAGCAGTCCCCAGCAGTCCAGATCTCCTGCCCTCATAGCAGTCCCCATCAGCCCAGATCTCCTGCCCACATAGCAGTCCCCATCAGCCCAGATCTCCTGCCCTCATAGCAGTCCCCGGCGGCCCAGATCTCCTGCCCACATAGCAGTCCCCGGCGGCCCAGATCTCCTGTCCTCCTAGCAAGCCCCAGCTGCCCAGATCTCCTGTCCTCCTAGCAGTCCCCAGCAGCCCAGATCTCCTGTCTTCCTAGCAGGCCCCAGCGGCCCAGATCTCCTGTCCTCCTAGGAATTAGTCACAACAGGCATGGTTTAATAAATAAATAGCCCAAACAAGAAATTATCAGCATCCTGTAGCTGTAGAGCGCCACAAATTAGATAATATGTCCAGCACAAGTTTATTCATTGGGGCAAGGATCAAAAGTACAACCAACGCGTTCCATCAGAGGCCAGGACACCCTTCCTCAGGGTGCGGCACAGAATTCAAAAGGATCCAACACCCCAGGGAATCATTCATTTCTTTCCTGGCTAACGGAGCTGATAACTTCTTTTTTAGGACAAATGAACTGAGGAACAAATAATGGATCTTTATTATCAAGGATACAATGTATTTGGATAAATGCTTAAAGAGACCCTGTCACTAAAATAATGATGGACTACAATCTCCATACAAATTGGTAAACTAAACATGAGATTGTAGTCCATCCCGGGAGCGAACTTGGAGCGGTGACTACTTTACAACACACACAGGGACTAGGGGGAATACAAGTAGCCCCCCTCCAGAAGGAAGGACAGTGTCGGCACCAATTCAGAGATGATTGGAGGATCTACAGCCGAGTGATACACAAATAAGATACATTGTTGTTAAGGGACTTGAATGTATTTTTAAGATTTAATTCCTGAGTTTAGTGTCACTTTAACGAATTGTTCATCTTCTCAGGGTGAATTCCAGAACAAAAGAGGGATGGTGCTACTTTCCATTTGACTTATTGGACCTATGTATATACTAGACCAGGCTATTGTGGTGACAGGGTCTCTTTAAGTATCTATCTAAATGAATGCATACTGATCCTAAGTATCCGGGTTATTAAAGAACATAAATTGGGCTTATTCACTGAAACCTTACAAAGATGATATACAAAGTGCAATAGACCGTAGCATCCAATCAAACTTCATCTGACTGCTATGTTTAGTTTACAATTGATTTCTGATTGGTGTCTATGGTTGACCGCGCACCCTCATTGCCCCCAACCTCCCCCGTTTCTGTTTAATATGCCTCTTTTAGTTTTCGATTAAAGAATAATTATCTGATAAAATCTTAATGTTGCTTTTCAGGCATCTCATTAATTTTTTGGAATTCCATGTACACGTCAGAAAAGGTTATTATTCGGTGGACGCTACTCACAGAAGCTTGTTACTTCAGCATACAGCTTATTGGTGAGTTACTTACCTGCTGAAAATGAAAATTCTACCCGATTTTTTTTTTTCTTCTTCTAAGTTCCAGAATGATTGTATTGAAGATCCTGACAATTTGTAGGAATCCTATGGCTTACTTCGCTGATGTGTTTCAACCTCACTTGGGGCTTAACTCCAGTGATGAGGCCCTGATTAAGGGGGAAGTGTGTTAGGTTAGGAGTCAGGGACTGTAGAAGACCCTGAAATGTTAGCATATAGCCCCATGTGACATTATGGGGCCTGCTTATAAACAATTGGCAGTGCCATACAACCTCCGCATCTCTGAGAATGTTTGTTCTGTGCAAATAGAGCTGAAAATGAACATTGTTTATATTTTTTCTGTTCAGATTTAACGTAATACCGCATTATGACCACTCGATGGAGCTGAGGAGAATAGAAAATAAATACTACCTTCCTATTCTGTTCAGCTCCATCTGCTGGCCATAATGTGGTATTACATTACAATTCATTCAACCTGAAAAGAAAATATACAAATAACTAGGGATGCACCGATAACGATACTAGTATCTGTGCCGATACCGAGTATTTAGGTGAGTACTCGTACTCCTGTAGGGTTGGGGACCACACATTGGGTCTCCCGTAGGGTTGGGAACCACTAGTTGTGTACCAAGTGTTGGGTTTCCCGTAGAGGTGGGAGCCACATGTTGGGTCTACCCTAGGGTTGGGAACCACTTGTTCAGCCTCCCATAGGGTTGGAAACCACGCTTTGAGGCCTCCCGTAGGGTTGGAAACCAAGCTTTGGGCCTCCCGTAGGGTTGGGAACTACGCGTTGGGCCTCCTGTAGGATTGGGAACCACACGTTGGGCCTTCCATAGGTTTGGGTACCACAGGTTGCTTCTCCCATAGAGTTGTAAACCATAGGTTGGGTCTCCGGTAGGGTTGACAGCCACACAATGGGTCTCCCGTAGGGTTGGGCCTCTGATAGCAGACCCCCGTGGGTAATGGTGTGTTTCTTAACCCAAAACAGATTAATCTGACTTAGAGATAAAACATTTCTCCTCACAGTGCTCTTTGTTTTTCCTTTGTCCAGTTACCACAGTGACGATGATCGAGAGTGGCTCTCCCACCATGGCTGCCGCTGTCCTCCTCAGTTGTTGCCTCTTCTTCCTTCTCGTCAGCTTCTACTTCTACTACCAATATGGCCGCAGGCCCAAGAAAATATGAACTTCCCTTTATTTAGGGGGTCATTGCGTTTCCTTTTTTCCTCCAAAAAACTCTCACCAACCTGCAAGGCCGTTTATAATCTGGAACAGGGAATCAAGAACTGTACCCTCCCGACGCCTCCTTGGCCTTCACGCCTACACACGATATTGTCAGCGCTGTGCAACAGATCGCCCCGCTGTGTAGTGTAGATTGGACAGACGATTCCACGTTTGCCACGGCTGACACACAGCATGCACAGTACCCATCTCCTGTTATGTTTTTAGCTTATTTGCTCCTCCTTTGTGTAACCCCCTCCCCTTTGTGTTCCCATCCTGTAGTTGCCAGATGGCTAGTTCGGCATGCTTCCATGTTTTTGGGGTATTTATCCATTATTATCCAAACAAATGTGGGAAAAATATTTTTACACTGCTCTCCCATCATCTTCTTTTTTTATTCACAAAGTCAGAGTTGAAAATTGCTGCCTTCAGATCTCTACTGCCGTCGTTCTTTGTGCCTGAATCAGAAGGCCCGTTAGCGCTTTGGCTGCCAAAGCAGTGCCTTGTATCCCCCTCTGGCAGCCAAGGAGTTAAACATTCCAGAAGCACAAAGAATCTCCTGGAAAGTAAATCTGGGCAAGGGCCCGTCTGTCGTTTCTTTTGCTCGGATTGGACAGAATCGCTGCCTTTGACACCTGAGGAATGCGCATGTAAAATTCAGTACAATCGCTGTTGGTTGCCGACTCAATACTGCCTCATCTGCTGGGTTTGGGGTACTACAGGGAACCACTTTGGCTTTGGATGAGATCATTTTAGGAGCATTGGTATCCTTGAGAGTTATTTTTATTTTTCCCCTATGGATGCACGTGTGCTGGTGCTGGAGATTTGACTTTGGAATGCCACGGAGATAACTGACACAGGAGGACCACTTCCTGTATCCTCAAGGAAAGTATTTCCACTCGGACCTGGGTGACGGGATGTTATTGGAGAGGAAAGCGGCCACACCAATTCCCGGGAGAAGTCGCTGCTGCCCGCGAATGATTTATTGAGGACGTTTCTATATCATTTTGCTCTTGGACTCCCTTTTGGGTTTACAGTCGGCAAAGGATATGTCTGTCAGTGACGGGTTTAAGTGTCTCTCCTGCTTGACAAATGTGATATTTTAAGGCCGGGCGGGTAAATTGTGCGCTGTGTGAATAACACTGATTAGCTGCTTTGCCAAAGCAAAGGCTTTTTGAAGCTTTCTCAACTTTTTGTATTTTGTTCAGCAGGTCTGCGGGGGTTTCCGGTGGCTTTATCCCTCCTGGGCAAGCAGAAAAAGTTTAAGCCTGAGACTAAGGGCACCGTCACAACGTAAAGCCCCATTGAACTTTCAGTTTCAATCTGCTAAATACTCTCCAGGTACATCAAAAACAAACCATTTTTTTTTTGTAAAGCTGCACCAACCTGAATAGAAAAGCCGGTCCGTGCCAGCATCTGCATTAAAGGACCCTTAATCTCTATAGGGAATCAAATGTCTCTCTGCAGGGGTTCGACCTGCTGAGTCAGAGCTAGAGCTCGCAAATTGGCAAAGCTCATGCTCCCTGTTGATTACAGCTCTACCTCTGGCTCAACAGGGGGTGTATTGGACCTGTGCAGGGAGACCACTGCTTCCACACAGTCAGGCGGGACCCAGGCTTTTTTTTTTTAATCAGTTGTGGGTGATTTTTAAAGAAGACGAACTGAAAGACTTTGCATACCTTTTAAGATTTGATGCCCCTGGAATGCATTTAGCTAATTTAAAACTGAAGATTTAATAGGGTTTTAAAGTGACATTAAACCCTCAGATTTAACATAAACCAATACTGTAATGTGCGCCTTACTGTAATCCATGGTAGTTTCCCTTCTCTTTGCTGCTCTTCCTTTTAAATCCTCATGTCTTCTCATGCTGGGGGAGAACTTCCCTTTTCAGCTCAGGGCCTCTTCCTGTAGTGCTGGCTCAGGTTACAAGCCTATACAAACCTATACACAGACACCATATATCCATTCCTGAGACAAGGCAGTCTGCTGCAAAACAGAAGTTCTGCAGAGCATGAGAACAGATACAGATTTAAAAGGAAGAGCAGCAAAGAGAAGGGAAACAACCATGGATTACAGTAAGGAACACATAACAGTATTGTTTTATGTAAAAAAAATCTGAGGGTTTAATGTCACTTTAAGGTAGACCATCATTTTGAATGGGCTGTTAACCAACCTTGATGCACAAAACAATACCTTTTGGCAATGCAGTGCGCTGCAGGGCTTAGGGCATTTACACACACGTGTTGTGGTGCACCGTATGTACTGTATTCGTACAATGGTGTGCGAGTAAGAGATGTGACGGACAAATACATTGTGGTAAATTATTTGACGCATGGGTTTGACCATACGGCATTGGGTGCATCGTTGGGTGAAGGTTCCCAGAGTCTGGTAAAAGTGGTCTTCTGTTCTTTCAGGGGAAGTGGCAAAGTTTAAATGACCCCTCCTCACGACGCCACCCATTGCTATAGAGGCAGTTCATTCATCTCGAAAGACACACCCAAGAGAAACTCTGACATTCTATCAAAGTTTAATAATACAAAAAAACCTCATAATTCATGGAGCTCGCTAGCTCTGCTAATGACACTCATGTACAACAAGGCTCCTCCTTAGCGAGTATCCGACATGTGACTCAAAGTGTAAACCACAAAAGGAGGTATCTGTAAAAAAAAAAATAAGTCAAGGCAACTGGACTTGCTGTATTTTTTTCTTTTCTTGAAGACGTTTCACTGGTCATCCAACCAGCTTTCTTAATTCAAAACGACAAAAGGAGGGCCAAACCAAATGCTGGAAGAGTTCAGGAACCTCCTAATTATAGATCATAGGATAGGACAGCCATTGTGTTTCGGGAGCTAACACATGCCCCCCTTTTATCAGAGCTTGAGTGAAACAACTTTCCAGACCAATCCTGTATTAAATGTAGCTCGTTGGCTTGTAAAAAGGTCTGGGAAAAGCATGCCCCAAAATCAATAGGGCGGCACAAGCTGTGTTGGCTGTTCTGTGTGATGATATCACCAATTATTAAAACTACTTGGACGCCATTTTGGTTTGGCGCTTTTTTTGTGGTTTTACAGTAAAATGAATTTGGAAAGGGTTGTTGATGCTTGAAAAATTGCACCTGCTATTTTTTTTTTGTAGCACAACACACATGGTCTGATTTTTAAAATACGTTCGCTCAGTGTATAGCTAATACAAATGACGTTTGCACAGCGTTACTGCCACTAGGTGGAGCCGGGGAGCTTAGGACACTTCTCTTCTCCTTGGCTCCATCTAGTGGCAGTAATCTGCCGTGTACATCATCTGCACAGATAGGCGGTAGGGGAACGCATTCTTAATCGGCTCCATTGAGTATTCACATCTGTGTGTTTTGGTGCAATGAAATGCAGGTGCGTTGGGGTGCCAATAGGAGTAAATAGAAATGTGATTGAGCCCTAAGAATAGTTTATGATGCCCACAAAAAGAATGGAAACATTTTCTTTAAAGTTGAAACTTTTGAACAGTGTAAATGCCAAGTGGCAACCAACACTGCCATCGCATCCCTTGTGTGTACCCTAGCACCCCATACATGTGCCAACTAAAGCCCTTCAGTGCTGAAAGCCACATTTCACCCTCTACCACTAGTGGAGCTCATTCGAAGTACAGACATCTTCAATTGAGAAGGACTTGTCCCCACTGAATGTAACACCATGACCCCATCTAGCTTCTAATTCGCACCAATAACACGCAATGTCCTGGCAGAGGTGCGGCACCGGGTCTGTGAGCGCAAAAACTGAGCCCTGTAACCCTGCAAGTTAGACATTTAAGAACATTTTGCCGATTTTGAGATGATTATTTTGCTGTCTGGGCTTAAAGTACCACATTTGCCACAAAGTTGTACTTTAAAGGGTCAGTCCACGTGGAACCATTCGTTTTTTTGGTTAGATGCTTAAGAGTAATGGTTAACCTAAAGTTTTAGAAGTAAAGGTTCTGCCTAAGAGCTGACCCCACAGGATGGTACTAATGCCCTTTGATCTTCTGTGCACCTCTCCGAATTAGTTATACTTTGTTACTGAGGCTTGACTTTTTTTTGCTGAGGTTCTTCCAAAAACCATGTCCTCTGTTCAATGAAAGGACGCTTACTGGCCACTGAGGCAGACTTATTGGACAGTGCAATGGCAGTTGGAAGAGCTTGACCAGGACGTCAAAGTCAGATCCAAGTGAAATGAAATCAGAGGGGTGCACAAAGCTCATATCGAGGCTCATGTGACCTCTGCTCCTAGGCAGGACTTTAGTCTGAAATGGAATACACATTCACTTTAAATCACCCAATGGTTTATGTTTTCCCAGTTTGAGCTCCTTTCCCTCGAGCCACAAGGGTCGGCATATCCTCTGTGGCCATTACCATGGGTTCACTCTCTCCCTGTTAGTTTTATATGATGGAGAATGCAGTAAAAACGTTTTACATGCTGTAGAAGAACAAGGGAGACTCCAAAATGGCGGGGACACCATCTGGTGGGAGACCTCGCCACCGATGTCCCGATTCCTGTAAAAAGCCAGCAGGTGACCCAGCCCATAGAACCCACCTATACTTGAAGTATAATTTTTCCCTGGGCAGACTTTTTTATTCTGTAGCAGCTTTTGTGTTAGAATATCCCAGTTTTGGTGTTTGGATGCCACTGGCAGGAGACAGAGATGACTTAACCTGTACGGCAAGATTATGTGTACGGCATAATTACGAGTACGGCAAGATATGTGAGAATGTAGCATCAAAAGGGGGATTCGAGAAAAAGTGAACACCCCGTGTTTGTATGGGACCCCTTCTGTGGCGATAGAGGGGACCCCCTCCTTATCCCGCTCCTTGGTTTTCTCACAGATCTCACATCTTCCACCTATTGGTGAAGTCTGGTATAGCGTTGTGACTGTAAATTGCAAAGCCTTTTGTAGAGAAACGACTGGGGACTCCACTCCACCAGCAGGATGGGGTCTTGCCTTTCACAAAGGGGGGCTGTGGGAAGTGGGGACCTCTCCATGATACTA